TAAAAGATACCACTGTGGTTACAAGTTAAAAGACCTGTGCCAGTATAGAAGAAAATGTATGAATACATAAAAGTATAAAGTTTTAATAATCAGAATGTTTAAGAAAAAACAAGCTACAAATATTTTTAAATGGGCAAATAATAGAAAGAGATGAATCTTTAAAAGCTAGTAATCATATACAAATACGTTTAATTCTGTAGGACTCAAGGAAAGAGACAATAGCAGCAAGGGAATGTCAATTCACGCCCCTTCTGACTGGCCTGAAAAGGGGGTGAGGGGATAACGTTGTTGAAGGAGGGGGAAAAGCAGCCAATGAGAGCGCAGGGAGGGGCACAGGGGCTGGTGCATTCAGTGCTCAAGGCACTGTCCCAAGCTGCCACAGGGCACGCTTGCTGCAGGTGAGGAATGCACTTGGGTGCCTTGTTGAGGAGCTGTTTCTGGAATAAAAAACTGAGGCTTCAAAAGTTCCACTGCAGGCCCAGGCTTCTTTCACGTAGCCCTACCACATCCTACCAAAGGCTGCACAGCCCCAAATCCTCTGCTGTGAAAACCACTATCACTGAGGAGCAAATTCATTCCACATTCACCACCTCCCTTAGAGATCTTGAGTAGCTTCTTAAACCTTGCTAATTCTCTCTCAGGTCAGGGGCTAATGCGTTCCCCTGAGAGGAGATTTACACAGTAAAAGACAATGGCTTCCGTGTTGATTGGTCCACAGGATGTCTCTAAGGGTGGCTTTATCCATTTGTACTCATTTATTCATTTGTCTCCTTGGCAACCAAATTGTTTACTACTAATTGAATGTTGCACAGTAGATTCTTGTTGGGAAACCAGTTCCCCCCGGTAACAGAAGGCTTCATACAGATATTTATTTTGAATCAGAGTGCTTTGCTTTTCCACAGAGAGCGTCATCTTGCCAAGCTCCAGCACTGATTTGGGGAGCTGCTGAAGCTATGAAAACATAATAGCATAAGAGGATACTGTTGTCTTGAAGTTGGCAACTCATTTGGCAAGACAAAACAAAGCCCTCATTGCTTTGCTTTGTTTCCAGGTGATAAAGACAAATTAAAGTGGTCCAAGGACCACACTGCGCACAGATAACTATCTCACAGACCCATGCAAAAGCCCTTTCTGATTCAACAAACTCTGCCTAACCCCCGGCTATCGTGGGGAAGGGAACAAGCGTGACCAAGGTTGGTATCCTTAGCACAAAGATAATATATTTAGAAAATGTTTTAGGAGTGAAAACCTTGCTTATTATAGCGGAGCTCGATAAACATGTAAGAAGTACAGTAATTTTCTGAATGTAATTTTAATAACACAATGTTCATCATTTTCTTACATCTAAAATTTCAAAATACATGGTTTTAGCTTATCAAGAGAACTTGCAACTAGGATTGTAGGTGAATGAATAATCCCATATTTTTCTACAGACAGGGGACAAGAGAGTCCAGGAGAAGGAACCAAAAACATGAGTCTGCCTCCACATCTATCCATTCCCTACGCAAAACCACGGAGACTCTCCCCAGTTACAGAGCAAAGTCCTTGCTTCTTTAATAATATGGCACATAAGACTCCCCATGATTTGGTCCCTGTCCACCTTTCCCCTTTGTCTCCCACCTCCCCCCGCCCCCCGCAACTGCTTTAGGACAGAAGCATCATCCCATGATCAAAAGATATGCCCCTGAACATACTGTTTCCTTTTCCTGGAATGCCTTTTCCCCATCATGGTTGTGTAGTAAACTCCTATTCATTCTGAACAACCCAGCTAAGGTCTCACCTCCTCAAAGGATCCACCCCTCCTCTGGGCTATAATTTGTACATACTTCTGTTGGTGAACACATCCCACTATGTTCTAATTGGCTGTAGGTCTGTGACCGGAGTTTGAACTCTCTGAGGGAAGGATTTCTCTCTGAATCCTCAGGGTTCTGCTGCTCCTTCTACTGGATGAATGAGTATTAAGCATGATTGATTTGAAAGTGTCTTTAAAATTCCCAGGGGCTTCTGTCCCCTGGGATGTCATATAGGACTCCAGTTGCTTTTGTCAGATTCCCAGCAGGGCTATTCTAAGAATTAAGGTTTTAACATAAAATGATCTCTCCACAGAGACCGTCTTATTATTTTGTTATTTTTTCAAGGTGCGAAAAATTAAGTTATTTGTCTTTCTTAATCCAGTGTTTGTGATTAAGAAATAAGGAAAATATGTTTCTCTTTCTCTGTGAAAATGATGGGATTCTGGAATGCCCACATATGTAGGTTACACAAATCCTTTCTCTTATAATTTCTTCCTGAATGATGGAGAAGAAAATCAATCTTCCAGATTTGCATTGTCTTATAGAAAAACCTAAATGTTAATTTGGCCTACAGTCATAGGGGCGGGGGCTAAAGAAGAGAACCTAAATTACCCGATGGACTGATTCATTGCTCCACTGACAGCAATTGTATGGTGAGAGCTTCTAATCTGCCTCGGGTTCTGCCTTTGTGTTCTCCAGGGGCGTCAGTCTCAGGGAGACAAAGAGACCAGGCTAGAGATGAGCTGAAATAAGCACTGATTGTCAACCACACCTTTTCCCAAATTTTATGTCCAAGGCCACCATCTGAGTCAGCCAATAGCAGTGATACCGGTAGACTTCCTCAGTTTGATGAAATGCCACTTATCTTTGTTCCATTTTGAAATTTGTATTTACCATATTTTACTGAAATCATTCACCTCCTCAAAGAAGCAAGAGTCGTCAAAGGTGACTCCAGGGTATATAGTTTGAACGACTATGTCGGTGGTGGAAGCATCCACTGGAGGAGAAGCTTTGAAGGAAGAGGCTAAATCATGAGTTCAGTTTTAGATGCACTCGAGTTGAGGTGTTTGAGGGGCATCTAGATAGAGACATCAAGTGGAGAGTTCAGAGAAGTGTGGGCAGGAGATAGAATTCGAAAGTTGTTGGAGTATAGGTGGCAATTGAAGCCGTGGGGATGGAAGGGACTGCCCGGGTGGCAGAACGTGGAATGAGAAGAGGGTATGACTATGTCCTGGGGCACTCCCACATTTGCAGTTTAGGTGGAGGAACAGTGATTGGCAAAGGAAAAAGAGAAGAATCAGAGAGGAAGGAGGGAAACTGGAGCATGTGGTATCGTAGAAGCCAGAGGAAGGATTATTTCAACATAGGGAGTGGTCAAAGTTGTAGAATGATTCTGAGAGGTGGTGTGATATGAAGACTATAAAAAGTACATTAGCTTAAGTGATATGGAAATATTTGGTGAATTTAACAAGAATTGTCTCCATGGAGTGGTTGAAACAAGTTAGATTAGAGGGTTTGTGGAGGGAAAAGGGGCTGAGGAATTGGAAAGAGAAACTATAGGCAACTCAGGCCAGAAATTTGAGAGTAAAGGGGAGGAGATTGGTGGAAGATAGAGAAGCCTGTGGTTTCCAGGGGTTTTTTTTTTTTTGGAGGTGGGGAACGGTGATTTGTTCATTTGTTGATTTATTTTTTGTTGTAATGAGACAAATGAGAGCATGCATAAATGCTGATGGAAAAGGGTCTAATAGAGAGGAAGAGATTGAAATAAAATAAGAAAGAGGTAAAATAATTAATGTTCTTGAGTGAAACCCGAGGAGATAGAGTTCGGAGCACATGTAGAAGGGTTGGCTTTTGTTGGAAGAGGGAAAACACTGGCTGTATGAAGTTCCCATCTAATAGCTTCCATTTTTCCAGTGAAACAGAGGCAAGGTTATCAGCTGAGAGAGAATTGGAGATTTAAGAAGAATAGAATGGGCGTAAAATAGATTTTGCATAAATTTTTAGACCAAGCTACTGGGTATTTTTGATGGCCTAGTTGAGGTCACTGATCATTATTTTGCAGTGGTACCAATCTCATTGTGTTTTTCTCCAGATGTTCTTAGCAGCCTGGGTGGAGACATGGAGAAGACATATAGGTTCATCTAGGATTGGAGTTTGCCAGAGAATTTGCAGGAGAAAAATTGAAGTGATAAATCCTAGCATCTATTCATAATAGGAAGAAAATAAAAGGTAGAAATGAGTGATTGATGAATGGATGGGTGAATGAATTGTTGAATGGATGGGTGAATGGATTCATAAATGGATGGGGAGGTGAAGGGGCAAGTCAATCAGAAGCACCTCGTGAAAGAATAGTCGTAGTGGGGCACTTAACAAATAAAGTTGAAAAAAGGAAGGTTGTGAATGAGATGCTAGATGTTTGCACTGTTTGATTCAGAGATTGAGTAGTTTCGAGTATTGCTAAGTTCCACAGCACGACGGTGGATGGATGAGACAGAGTGGATAATTCACTGGAGTAGTGATAGTTTAGTCACATGGACACTAAAGTCATCTAAGTCAATGGATGGAGCTGAAGTGGAGAGGGAGTGGGGGAGTACGGAGTCTGGTTATGAAATTATCAGTGAAAGAGGAGGAGTGACTGGGAAGTCAGATGCAGACTGACACAGGGAATGGAGCACAAGCTTCAAATTATGGAGGAATAACTAGAGAGTGAAGGAGCAGTGGCCTGAACGTGGCAATGGGGAGAACACTGCCCCACTCTCAGATCTGGAGCTACTTGGAGTGTAAAATGGCCTTCACTTGAGAGGCTGACAGATGAAGCCTCGTTCTCAGAAGACTGGCTGGATTCAGTTAAGATAATGAGATGGAAGGAATCTCCTGAGTAGAGTTTGAGGCTACAGGGGATGAAGTCTCCTTTTCCATTTGACTACACACTGTGGTACATGGGTTCGTCAAAGGTGGACAAATGGTGGCTTGGGTCATAGTCCCTCCGATTGATGCAAGGAAGTGTTTTTCTCATATTTCTATACCCCAAACCTAGAATACTGTAAGACACCTGGAATAGTTTTTTAAAGCGTGTAACTCTTATTGAAAGTTTGATTGCTCCGTCTTTTGCTGATTCTACATTCTACTTTGACATTCTGAATACTAGTAATCATTATACCGGAATTTAGATGCCGATCCAAAAGAGTAAAAGAGATTCATTTGTACCTGTATTTTCATCCATACACATCTGGTGAATAGATCTCTGTTATGAGCTTTTCTTGGTATCATTGGCTTCTTTTTTCCCTAAAATTGAAGCAGTAGAATGCGTTCTGGTTAATTTAGTGTTTTGATTACTGAGGTTGTAGTTAAATCAAGTGTCTTAATCACCGAGCTTCACAATCACAGCCCTAGGAAGGATCATGATGTAGTTTTTGCACTATAAACTCAATGAAGGATCCGCTTTGACAAGGCATCAAATTGAGAACTTCTAGAAAATATCAATATTGGTTTCTCATGCACTACAGAGATTTATGTGACTATTCATACCATCTGTCCCTTCTTTCTTAATACATCTCAGATCTTGGAAGTGTTGTTTAAACAAAGGGGTCTTATATGCCTAGGAGAAAGAGCAAAGATGAAGTAAGTCTGCCCTAACAAGGCCTAAAACCAAGCCTGGACGGGATCAAGGTGATCCTCCAGTAATTTAGCATAATCCAGAACCTCTACAATCTACTATCTACCGTGTTCAGCATACAATAAAATTACAAGATAGGAAGATATAGGAAAATGTTCATCATGGGAACACATAACCCTTTAAGTCAAAATACTTCCTCAACCTCCAGAGTGACTTCGATGGCCCAGATAAAGCAATCATAATAAGTAATGCTACATTTCCCAAAAGCTGAGTTCCTCAACATTAAATTGCACCACGTGCAGAACCCCAAACTTCTAATCTAACTCCATGTTTAGGAAAGAAAATAGTTATCTACCTCATCCAGGGAACAGTTCTGTTAAAATCATAATACATTCACTTGACCACAGAGATCGTATATCAAGTTTAATCAATTGCCCCACGTTCAGATTTATGATGACTGCAAAGTTTTCTCTGAGAAAAAAAAATGGATGCTTTATATTTGCTTATCTAAGGAATGCAGTTTAGCAATACTCCCCAAACAAAGGAAGTCTGCTAGGAAATCAAAGTCTCCACTTGTGGAATGAGAGCTGCCAGATGCCTCCAAACAGAAGTTTTCCCACTTACAAACAAACAAAATGAAAGTTCTTTCTCTACCAAATACCCTGTCAACATGGTAAACGTCAGTGAACCCAAAGTTGCTAATCAGGACAGCTCTTTATTGAAGTCTGTTTTTAGCAGATGCTTTTACTTAGAAAAGAATGATCACATTGATGAAATGAATACTCATAGAGCAGTAGGCATGAATCCAACACACATGAAGAATCTTGATAAATACTTCACTACATGCCTATCAAGTTCATGTACATATCATTGTAAGTACCATTTATAATTCAAAGACAACACATACACTTTTGGTGAATACTTGAGAATTACATGTAAAAGCTCTGGATTTTTAATTTTTTTGTATTTTCTTGTAAGATTTTAGGTACTCATTTAAAATCCTAGTTACCATTAGATGAATAAGACCTCGAATTAAAAATTTGTACAATTCAAGCTTGTACAATTCAAGCTTGTACAATTCAAATTTGTACAATTTAAGCTTGTACAATTCAAGAATGAATTTGGCTATGTATGATCTAAAATGCAAGCCTATTCCTTCCAAAACTGCATACTCCTGACCTAATCATGAGAAGACATCAGACCAAACCCAAATTGAGGGCATTTAACAAAATAACGGGAGTATACTCTTCAAAACGGTCAAGATCATGAAGGAGAATGACTGTCTCAGGACTCTTCCAGATTAAGGGACATTAAAAAGACGTGACAACTAAAGGTGATGGGTGATCCCGGATCAACTCCTGGGACAATTGATGAAATCTAGATGTCTGTAGATTAGATGACACCATTTTCTCAATGTTAATTTTCTGATTTGGATCATGTCTGTAATATAGTCTCAAAAGTCTCAGAAGAAAATATATAAATGTGTATACAGAGAGAGAGTGATAAAGCAAATATGGTAAAATGTCAACATTTGGCTGATGGGGGTACATCTGAAATTTTTGTACTGTTGGTAATTTTTTTGTAAATCCGAAAAAATTTTTAAATCCACCCACCAAGGCATTCTCCTGTTTTTCTAGATGAACGTAAAATGGTATAGCTGCACATCTGACGGCAGTCTGTTCTCTCTCATGTTTTATTCACAAAGCATTCAAAATACTTTCCCCCATTTTCCTCCTAGTATTCTAGCCAGGTTCATTACTTTATTCCCCTGACACATAATCTTTTCATTCCTTTTTCTGTCAACCACAACATTGAAAAACTCTGTGATTTTCAGGAAATTCTGTACAAGACAAAGCATTAGCGTCCTTCCATTGAAGGCTGCGAGTCTACAGGGAGCAAAATTCTAGCAAGATTTAGGCTTTGTTGTTCCACTAGTACTCCCCACACATAAACCCGGCTGTATGAGGAAAGAAGCTCTTCCTACATAAGAAGAAAAACTCTTTTTCAAATTATGACAAGCAATAAAAGAAGAAATAGGGGGAAAGAAGAAAAAGCCAGTAAATGCTATTGATCTAGCTCCAGTAACATGAGACTTTAAACCCAGGAGAACTTGGATTAAGGTTCGGAGACTCTCCTGAGTCTCAGACAATCCCAAACACTAGCCAGAACCTTCCAGGAAGGCCCTCTGCCCGCAGTGGAATAACCTTGGTGTCCTCTGTGCTTATCTCCTCCATTCTTCTATCTCCTCCCAATCTTGACTGTTGTTACCTCGTTTCCCCTGGGATATAAAGAAACAGCCCATACAAAAATGTGCACTTGCCACCTGAAGATGAAGCAGAACATGAAGTGAGATGAAAACCAGTGGCATCACCTTACCTTCAAGTAGCAGTTGTGTGAAACAGGTTCCACGTCTGCACCAGGTCCCTGGGGGGGTTGAGGCTACCTCAATGCATGCAGAATATATAGGGACAGATTATATATCCGGGGTTTTCATTACACAAGGTGTTTTTGATGAGTTCTCAGCCAAGATCCACTTGAAAACAAAAGCTGCACAAAGACTACAAAAAGGCCACACAAGGTTTAAACAAAAGGCTAAAGAAAGACCAAACAAAAGCCAAAGAAAGTTTAAACAAAGAATGAAACAAAGACAAAACAAAGGCCAAACAAAGACAAAGACCAAAACAAAGAGCAAAAGAAAATCTAAACAAAAGCTAAGCTAAGCTACAACTGTATCACACACACACACACACCATATCTACACGCGCACACACACCATATCTACACACTATCCCCACACACACTCACATATTCTGGTCTTCCACCTCCCACAGCCCACATAATTAACACCCCATGTCAAGCCCCTCACTAAGGCTCAGTCCACACCAACTCACCCCAGCAAACCACACACCCTTCCATCAATGAACCACCCCACCACAGCAACCATCTCACCCCACCATACTATATGCCACGCCACACACCACATGCCGAACCCACAAGCCATGAACAGAGTTGGAGTCACACTGACAGATCTTTATTTTTAGGCTTCTATTTCCATACTCTATGCAGATTAAATACCCCACACTCCCCTCACTAACACACCTACATACACATGCCCCCAAGACTAACATTCACACACGCCTACCCTCATATACACATACCCTCATAGCAAGACTACCCCAGTCTAGTCACAATTGAGATTGGATTTGAAAGATTCTGTGACAATTACCCTTTGCATTCAAATATATGAAAACTTTTAAAAAATCACCACTTTTGGTACATGATTTCTGTAAATGATGAATCTCATTCAACTAACATGATAATATTGGCTTCAGTCTTAGACATTTGCATTTTCTTATCATTGTCCTAAAATTTGGGGATCACACTGTTGAGTCCTATAGCTCTGTGACTGTTAAATTTCATGGGTCCTATAACCCTGTGCTTCTGCAAAACTTCATTTTGTATATGCAGAACTACACGCTAATGATTTGAAAGATGGAAGGACACTTCTGAAACTAGTTCAACCAACAGCAGCCTTGCCTCTTGAATTCCCAGAACGCCTTGCTTGATGGTGAGGTAAAAATGCCAACATTGCCATCAAGTTTCCTTTTAGGCTCGCGTCTCATTGTATGCAAAAAAGACTCACCGAGGGAACCCTGAAAAGGCAATCCAATGAGACTACAAACAGCCAGTAGAAATCTCATTGTATGCTAACATCTTTCTCTGAGTAGCAAGTTAACGAGTTATAAATGTGTGCTGGCTGATTCACTCCTACAATGAAGCCAGGGCTTTGAAGCCAGGGCTTTGCTTGTGCTGCCGTGGATGTGCTTGAGGGCTACGTGGAGTGAGGTGGTTCAGAGCATGGGCTCTGGTGGTCCTGAACACTGGATGGTCACAGGACTATGACTCCAAGTACAAGCCCGCGGCTTGTTGATGAGTGGTGGAATGGGCAGCCATGCTGGCCTTCACATGGGCAGACCTCAAAATCCAAGCAGCTGGAAGATTTTCCCCTGGGGTCATTCAGTTTCTGAAAGAGCAATCCATTTTCCAGCCTGGCAGGGTAGGGAAGGTGGAGGAGTTTGAATATCTTACTACTGATATTCTGTGATCAGGGTGGGCAAGGGACCCACGTGAGTATGTGGATGTTTCCTTTTCTAAGCCCTGCCCATCGCACTGCTCTCCACAGTTTCTGAGTCTAGAAATTTCTCCATAATAAACTTCCAGGAACTAGGGCAAGCTGTGCAGTGAAGTTGGAAATTTGTTCAGAATGTGCACCTTCCCGACACCTAATCCTGCTTTCCACTATACCTGGTCCCCCAAGCCTGTAGACGCTTGGTCTTTTGACACATCCTTTTGACATGCTTTTCTCAGGCATGGCCCCTGCCAGCTCTTAAAATGGAACTTCCTCCAGTCGGCCAAGCCATTTACTGCCCTCCACTCATTTCTACCCCCCAACTTGTGTTATGATCACTCATGTTTTGGTGTCTCCTTTTCTTTGATGGGTTAAAACCTTTTTGAAAATTCTCTACTGCCCCTGTGGGAGTAAAAATTGTTTTTAATTCTTTACCTTTAAAAATATTTTACTACTATAATTTTAGTAATTTGGGGGGAGATAAAAGTAGATAAAATAAGCACGTGTAGTTAACCTGCCACTTTTAACGAAAAAAAAAAAAGAAGTAATTGCTTTTTATTGAAATATAATTTGCATACGATAATATTCACAATTTTACAGTGTAAAATTTAGGGACTTTTAATAAATTCACAGGGTTATGGAGGCATCGCCACTATCTAATTCCGTAACACTTTCATCACTCTAAAAATAAATCCATACTGTAGCAGTGAAACATAATACTAGTTTATATCAGCACATAGAGAGTCAAGCATAAAAGGGGTTAGAGGGTATGGCGAACATCGTGTTAGGGGGAATCACTGAAAGTTAGTACAAAGTGAGTGAATCATCCACAGAAAAACGTTACCTTAGGAAAGACACTGGTGAGAGAAGGACATCTCCATATTCTCCCTAGAAAGTTAAATGTGCATAAACTCATATCCACAATCAGACAATTGTTGTTTACCTGACAAAATTATGTACCAAAATATGTGTTGTAAATGTTGTTTTTTATTAAGATTTAAAAGGCCAAGAGATGTTCAGATTAATGACAACAATCCTATTTTTCCTGTAGAAATATGAAAATAAATGACCTTTATAAATAGCTATAGGACCATTTAATTATTGCAAGGTAAATAATAATGAATTGATCAAATCTGAGAGAAACCAAAACGTTTCTTCATTTTTTGCCCTTCAGTCCTCACTTTGAGAGCAAATCTGTCTCCTCTAAGACTTTGACCTGGATCTCACAGATTCTGAGCTATACAGTCCCCAGCTTTCAATGGTAATCAGAGGAATAGACACCCTCTGAGCTGCCAGCCATTCAGACAAAGCCTCTGTGTGTTCCCAAGCTCCACAACCCCACTGAATCTCTCTCTCTCTCTCTCCCCGCCCTCCCCCTCCCTCTCCCTCCCTCCCTTTCTCTCTCTTTCTACTGTGCTTGGGCTCAGTTACAATTGTGTTCTGGCCAGTGGTGACCTGTGTAAATGTACATTATGTTCCATACTTAAGGGACTGCATTTTATCCAACTTGCTGTGTTAAAACTCAACTCTATACAAGACACGCTTCTGCTGTTCAACTTTCTGGACCTAACCCAGCGATTTTATCCCTTGTAATATTACCATTAGAAAAGGAAAGGGTGGACACAGGGTAGCAACATGCAAGGATTCTAGCAAAAGGGGAGATTCAGAATAAGAATATATTGTTGTGATGTGTTAAAGAAAACCAAAGCTGAATAGTAATTAAAGTGCTAAAAACAGATTTTATTCAGGAACTATTATATTATAATAGGAAAAAAGAGATCTCACTATAAAACTGGGCTCAATTCCAAATACAGTATGGACACGTGGGGATTAATAGCCAAGGAGCACATTGGAGGAGGAGGAGCTGGTGGATGGAAAATTACTAAGAGGAAATGTCAGTGGTAAGGAGGGGATTTCTAGCTAAACTGACTTGATAGGATTCTTGCTGAAATCAGGCCAGAGTGACCAGACATCATCTGGTGGATGGTGAGGGATGAGGAATTGGACCAGATATTGAGAATGATCTGATATTGAGGGTGGGGGATTCTTGCTAAGATGACTTAGCAAGATTCTTGTTAAAACTAAGTGATACAAAGACAGACATTGAGGTCCCAAGGTCAAGGCCTAGTTGGGAAGAAGGTTCAGAGTTGGTCTGACTAAAGTTGGTCCAGGAGGGTCTTTGTCAGATGTCAGCATGTTGCAGTGGTGGAAACTTTTGATTCTAAATCCTGATGTCAGTTATCCAGAGACAAGAGTGAAGTGAAGGACTCAACTATTATATTAATTATTA